TTAATAATCACAAGCTTAACTTTCCACTACATAAAAAATTTTCAACTATAGTAGAAAAACCACTGTCCCTCAAGAGTATAAACAAGTGTTACCAACAAAAACCTGGGCCTGGCAAAGAGGCTTAATTGGCTAATCCTTCCCTTGTAAGCTCCAGCATCCCATATGGACACAGGTTTGGGTTCCGGCTACTCTGCTTCCCATCCAGCTTCCTGTTTGTGGCCTGGGAAAGCAGAGAAGGGTGGCCCAAAGCCTTGGGACCCTACAATCACATGGGAGACCCAGAAGAGGCTGCTGGCTTCAGAGTAGCTCAGCTCCAGCCATTGCAACCATTTGCGGAGTGAACCAGTGGATGGAAGATCTTTGTCTTGATCTTTCCTTTTTTCTGTAAACCTGATTTTCCAAAATTAAAAACAATCATAATAAAAACTTAATCTCAGGATCTCACTTTTGATCATACACATTACAAGTTTTTAGAGTTTTCTTTTTTGTGGGTTTTTTATTCGTTTTGTTTTGTGGAGATTTTTTGTTTTGTTTTTTGTTACATTCCATTTTGGTTTGGTTTGAGGGTTTGTTTTTTCCATCTTGCTATATAATAGCAAAAACTAGGAAAAGCCTATTTATCTTTTAAGGACAGGCTTATTTCACTATATGTAGTGATCTCCGGTTGCAACCATTTTGTTGCTAAAAAACAATTTTTTTATAATAGCTGCACAGTATTCTCTTGTATATGCATAACAATTTCTTTATGCACTCATCAGTTGATGGATATCTAAGTGATTCCATATCTTAGCTGTTGTGAGTTGAGCTGTGTCAAGCACGGGGGTACAGATAGATCATATGCTGATTCCATTTTCTTTGGGTAAATTTCCAAGAGTAGGATGGCAGGATCATATAGTAGACCTGTTTTCAGATCTCTGAGGAATCTATAAAGTTGTATTAGTTTATATACCCACCAGCAGTGTATTGGAGTATCCCCCGCCATTGCCTCACCTGCATTTTTCATTTTTTGATTTTTGGAGGATAGCCATTCTCAGGTGAGGTGAAACCCCATTGTGATTTTAATTTTAATTTCCCTGGTGGCTGGTAAGTGCATTTTTCATATATCTGTTGATCATCTGTATCTAATACTTTCACAAATGCCAGTTCATGTTCTTTGCCCAATTCTTAACCAGACTGCTTTGTTACGGTTGAGTTTCTTGAATTTTTTCTTGATTTCGGATATTGATCTTTCATCAGTTGTGTAATTTACAAAGGTATTCTTCCTTTCTACCTGTTGTCTTTCTTCAGGGAGTGATTTTGGCTCATTTATTAAAGATAGACAATTGTAAGTATGTGGATTAAATCCTGAGGTCTCTAATCTGTTCCATTAGTCAACATTAAAAAGGCAGAGAGAGGAGGAAGAAAAGTAGGGGGAGAATAAAGATTTTGCATCTGTTGATCCACTCTCCAAATGGCCACCACAGCCAAGGCTCAGCCAGGAGGAAGCTAGGAGCCTGGGATTCATCCTGGTCTCCCACAGGGGTGGCAAGGGTCCAAGGATATGGGCCACCTTCTCTTGCTTTCCCAGGCACAGTAACAAGGGAGTTAGGTTGGAAATGGAGCAGCTGAGACTCGAAGCAGTGTTCCCATGTAGAACAACACCAGCATCACAAGGGGCCACAATGCTAGTGCCCAGGACTTTCTTCTCTAGCTGGTCTTCCCAAGCCTAACTTCTTCTTTGTTTAAAATGTACTTCTTTATTTTCAAGCAGCCACAGCAGGGGAAGGCAGTATTGGAGAGAGACAGATCTTCCGTGCACTAGTTCACATTCCTCAGATGGCTGCATCAGCCAGGACTAGGCCAGGCCAAAGCCATGAGCTTCACCTTGTCTCCCTGTGTGGGTAGCGGGGCACAAACCTGGGCCATCCTCTGCTGCTTTTCTAGGCCATTAGCAGGCAGCCAGATCAGAAGCAGAAAAGCCAGGACTTGAATTGATGCACATGTAAGGATGGCAGCATTGTGGGTGGTAGCTTTACCTGCTACACCATAACATCAGCTCTCAACGAGTTTATTACCTCCTGATATCTTTAGCCCAGCAAAACACTATCAGAGCAGGAAGCTGCCTATTTTGTTCGATAGATAACCAATAAACACAGAGCTTGGCACATAGAAAATATGCCATGAATGTCTCTTTTTGTGTAGTCTCATAGTGCTGACTCTCACACTGACCCACTTACTCATTGTGCTGGACTCACTTTCATTTTCCCACTCTTAAATCACTTTTCCTCAATAAACGAGGAGCTCTGGAAAGCAGGAATTTTGTAGATTCTCTGTAAGTATCTGATAAATTTAGATGAATTGAAAATATATTTTCTAAGCTCCAGATGTTTGAAGTCTTCAGAATAATTAAAACACACAATTTCTTTAAATTCTTTACCAGTATTTCAAAAAGCTTATGGGGAAATGGAATTCAATTATAAGTTTATTTTACTAGCAATATATATATATGCATATTGCTATACATATATAACCGTATATATATAGAGATATAGATATGGTTTTTCCATAATATACATTTTTACAGGAACTTCTTGAAGACCTGGAGTAGTGTTTAAAATTGTTAAGCTGCAGTGTACATACTAGTATAAAGATTCTCATTATAAATCATCCCTGGGTGCACATTAGCAAGAGGTTGGACTCCAGAGTGGAGCCTGGACCCCAATCCAGCCACATGGATATGGGATACATTGGGCATCCTAAGCAACATCCTTAGCCTTTGAGCCCGATGCCAGCCCCTGCTATGAGGACTCTGAGAATGCAGTTTTGGGTGTGTTTGCCCTGAAGCACTCACCCAGGCTGTGACATTTCAGCTCTGCTTTGAGGAATTTGTACATTTATCAGGAATGCAGCAAAAGATAAAAAGTGAGAGATAGGGCCATGGGCCCCAGTGTATCTCATTTGGCATCCAGTGCAGAGCTGGTGATGGCAGGCTGTGGGCAGGCGAGCTAGGACAGTGTGCTGGGCCCAACAAAGCCTTCCAGGCCAGATTTCACATTATCAGCAGGAGGGCAGCAAGATCTGCTCTGTGTTTTGCTCTGCTCTAAGTGCCCTCCTCTCCCTTAACCCCTCCCCAGCACACTGCAGCCAGTCCTGGTGCAGGGTAAGTCACACACTGAAGCACAAGCCAAGAATGCAGTCTAACTCACAGAGCAGGTTTCTTGGGAAGGCCAGTATCACTCACATAAAGGTTCCTGGTTTCCATGAAGCCCTCCTGGATTTCCTCAGCCCAAAGTGATCTCTCCTCCAAGCCTTTCCACTGCAGTTATTCTCACACCCAGGACACCCTGAGCAGCTTTCCTTGCCTCACACTTGTCCTCAGCCCTGAAACCAACTTCTCCACGCCTCATTTTACAGGCTTTTATCTGAAGTCATGCAGATATCCTGGGAGCACAATAGGATGTAAAGCAATAAAGAATAAGTATTTTTAGATTTTAAATTTCAAAAGGGGACAAGTCGCATAGGCTCGCCTTGATAAATCTCACAGAACATAGGGAATGTATCAGTTGAATAGATGGAAACAGTGATAGCATTAGAGCAAAGTAAAAACAATTCATTGGGTTTCAAACAAGCTGACAGCTACATAGGTACTTCTCTTATATTTTTCAAATATTCATCTCTCCACATAGTGTCCGACCATCTGTTAGTGTGTCATTTTTTTTTTACTTGATTTGCCAAAATTTTCATCTCTTACATAGATCTTTTGGGGGGGGACAAAAAGTCCTTAATTTATTTATGATACCTATTTTTTGGTTTGTTTCTCAAAGGGATATATTTATTTCAGCACAAAGTAAAAATACAAAGAAACAAAAATATTTGACTCTGAGACACAATTTGGTGAAGAACATTAACAATAATCAACATACGTATAATAAATTATAAAGATCTATTGATCTTACAATGAGGAAAGATAATAAGAAACACAAAAATATTATAAAATTATAGCATCATACCACTGTCAATGAAAACATTGCCATAAAAATATTCACTATTTCCAGTTGAACATTTCATTTTTCAGCACTGTGTGAATGGACTTCCCATTTATAAACTAGACATTCTCTTACTGCAGGGTCACAGGATGACCAGTCGTGTCTCTGGGCAATTAAATAGAGCACTCACTTCCGGTTAGATACACAGTACTTCGCGGCTAATATTTAATTTTAATTGGCAATAAGCTTAGTGCAAATAAAGTTGTGTTTAGCAGCTTGGAAAGTCCTGGTGGGGAGGCAGTCTCTTCCTACTAGGAATGTTGGCCATTCAAACCCAGAGGAGGCTACAAATAGTAATTCTATTGCTTGCTATGTGGGGAGTCATTATACAAATGAGCCACATGGGTTTCACCTTTGGAAAATTTTCTTTGGATGGAGAGAGGAAATCAGGGTGTGGATGCCAATCCTTTCCCCCCAGAGTGGAGTAAGGTGGCAGGTGGATCTCATCCAATTGCTTCTCTCAGTAGGGGACACAGGGCCAGAGCTGAGGGGTCTCCTATATGAAATCCTACTCTCCAGTAAGAATTTTATTACACTGATTTGAATGCCAAAAATGGAAGGGGAGAATGGGCAGCCATCTGCACGCAAACCTGGTGTTCCCGAGTCTCAGCCAACATTTCTAGTCCAAATGAATGAAAGCCACAGGGCCGCTAGCCAGAGCAGCTTTGTGTCTGAGCTTCATTAACCCCTCATATTGCCACTGCACCAAACCAGGTGGCTTCCTGTGCCCAGATCTACAGTGCCAAGGGGAAAATGAGGCCATCTGTTGGGGTTCCAGCACCTGGCTCTCCACCTCTTGTGCAGATTTCAGTAACCCCAAGACTTCAACCTTTACCTTGCTAGGTGACCCTGGAGGTCCAGGAAGTGCTGACAAAACACCCAGGCAAGTCCATGCAAGGTGGGTGACCCCTCTCCTGCAGAACCTCTCAGCAGCTCTCTGTCTCCCCATCTCCCCTGCCCACCCCTCCCCGCCAAAGTTCCCTGAGTAGCTCGAGGAAGAGGCTGTGTCCATGGCACCTGAGAGCAGGGGCATCAGTCACTGTACTCTTCTCTTTCCCTGGCAGCTGGGAATTTCTCGTGATGGTTGGCCAACTTCCATTTGTTGTGCTGACTCTTGAGGAGCGCAGCCAAGGAGGTCTTGCGGGTGACATTCCTAGCCACGTCCCGGCTCTTGGTCTTCCGGGAAGGGGAAGAAATGTGCACCAAAGGAGACACGGGGAAAATGGGCTTGCCCCGAGGGGCTTCTAGAAGCTGCCAGATCTCCCCAGAGGTGTTACTGGTCAGGTACTGCCAGGGCTTCTTCCCACTGCAATCCCGCACATTTACCCGGGAAGCCAACCTTTGCACCAGCATCTTGATGACCCCGTGGTGGCCGTGAATGGCTGCCAGGTGCAGTGGGGTGTACCCACAATTGGACCTGACGTTGACATCCAGAGCAACCCCCGCTTTGTGTGCTTCTAAAAGCAACTTCTGCAGAGCCCACAGGGTGCCATGCTTGGCTATCCAGTGCAGGGCCGTGTAGCCGGTCAGGAAGTCCTTGTGCAAAGCCAGCTGTGGATCCTCCTGGAACAAAGCCAGTACATTGTCCCAAGAGCCGCAGGCTAGCATCACGATCCACTGGTGCTCCCGGGCTTCAAGGGGTACCAGGGACAGAGGCTTGTGCTCAGTTCTGTGGGGCACCCAGGATGCAGACCTCTGCACACTGTGCGCCTGGCCCTTCTCGACCACAGCTGGCCTGAGTTCTGCGAGTCTGAAGGTCAATGCAGTGTCCACCCGGGGGCTGGATGCCAGTCCTGCCCTGGAGGGCTTCCGGGCCCGAGGTGGGCGACGGCTCTTCGGCGGCCGCTCCTCCCCAGGGTACTCCTCATCCGAGGATGACAGGGTGGTTCTGCCTGCCCGAGAGTTCCTGCGGAGGGACCGCCTGAGCTTGGGCGCTGGCTGTTCTGCAAGGCCATTAGCCGGGGCAGTGGCAGGAACCTGCTGGGAGGAGTGACCTGCCTCTCTTTCGTAGAGGCCCTGTGGGCTGTGGCCCGGGCTGCCCGTGGCCTTGAAAGACCCAGTAAGGTGCTGGGCTGGATTCCTGGGCAGCCCCTCCTCGGAACCCCCCGGGGAGTCCTTGGGCACACTGCTGCTCTCCTCACTACCGTGACTGTCCTGGTCCACGAAATCATGCAAATCCTGGAGCGACAGCTGACAACGAATGCTGCGAAACACATTCAGCGGAGGAGGGTCCCCAAGCCGGGACTCGGAGGCCTCATCGGGAACTGCAGTCATGTGGCCAGGAGAGGAAAGCGAGGGATCTTTAGCCGACGGCGCAGAGCTGGACTCCGACGCCGGCTGCAGGAAGTCATCTGGCAGCACCGACCAAGCCCGCACGGGACCCGGAGCCCGCTCCTCTGGTCTCTGTGGGTGTTTGGCTACCCACTCGCGGGTGCGCCGCCGCTGCAGTTCCAAGGTCGAAAGATGCGGGGAGCCGGCGCTCAGCGGCTCGGGCGGTTCCACGGCGGCGTCCGGGCCCTGCTGTAGAACCGGCGGGGACGGCCGGCGGCCAGCAGCCCCGACGGGGGCGGCAGGCGAGCGCGGCGGCGCCGGAGGAGTCCCGCGCTGCTCCGGGACAGGCGACGTCCGCAGTGTCCCCGGGCTTGCGGTGGCGGGATCCGGCAGCGCGCCGGGCTGTGGCGGAGGCTCTCCCGGGAGCGCTCCCAGGCCGTTTTGGAGGCACTCCCAGCAGCAGCGGCCCTGCGTCTCGGCCGCGGCACACCTGACCGCGACCTGGGCAGCGGCCCCGGATCCCGGGCTGCCCCGCCGCCCTCCGCCGCTTTCCCCGGGCTCCTGCTGCCGGGTACCGCTGGCCGGGAGGCCATTGCACCCGGCGTCGGCCGCTCGGACTGCGGCACCTGCTGGCTCCGCCTCCGGCTCCCTCTCGCGCCGCCGCCGCTGTCGCCTCTTGGGCTGCGGCGGCCCCCGGGGCGCAGCTTCCCTTTCAGGGGTGGCGGCCGCAGGCGGCTCGCGGGGTCGTTGCAACCCCTCCTCGCCCAGAAGGTCCCGGTACCTCCTCTTGAGCACCACGCACTTGGTGCCGTCGGGGTCCACGCGCACTGCGGCGACCGAGTTGACGAAGCCCTTGAAGAGCTCGCGACGACGCTGGTGCTCGCTCGGGGGCGCGTCGGGGTCTCGGAGGAAGCTCTTGAAGTGGCTCAGCAAGGCGGCGTTGGTCACTCGGCCCCCAGCCTGGCACAGGAAGTCCAGCAGTGCCTCCTGGCTCAGCTCGCGGGCCATCGCAGCCCGGCTGTCCCCTCTCTCCACACTGTCGGCGTCTGGCTCCACCGGCGCTCTTTTCCGGCAGCGAAAGCCCTGGCCCAGAGAGGGTCACCTGCTCCCGGGGCGGCACCCCTAGAATCCATCAATCCACCGAGCCCAGCGCGCAGCCCGCAGCCCCCTTGAGCGGCGGGAGGGCCGTGAGTCCACGCGGGAGGCGATCCCAGGGCTGAGCTGCTGCGAGCCACCTGGGTGGGCAGAGGGCGGCTCCCGGGTCCGCCGCTGGGCGAGACGCGAGCCTCTGGCAGCCAGTCCCTGCGGCGAAAGTTCCCGGGATAGGTCGGAATCGGTTTCACCTGCGCCTTGGCGACGCCTCCTCCCTCTGGGCTATAGGGGGAAGGGCCTGGCCCGGCGGCCCGCCTCCTGCAGTCCCTCCGCCCTCCCAGGTTTCCCCCACCCCCACTCCCGCCATCCATCCCAGATGAGTCAGGCGGGTCGGAGCCCCAGGGAGTGCCGGTGGGTGAGGTCCGGAGCGAACCGGGAGTCGGCCAGTGAAGTCAGCCAGACAGGCAGGCAGGCAGGCAGGTAAGCGACTCGCTGGTCCTCCGAGGCTTTGCCACGCAGGAAAGAAGCCTTAAGACACTGGGCTCCTGTGCTCTCGCTGCGCCTCAAAGTTACGGCTTAGTGCACATGTGGGGGCGGGGAGGTGAGGGTCGGGGTGCCTGCAGGTGCTCTGCTACCCATCCCAAAGGTGCGCTGCACTGCCCCGCTCTCGCCCCGGTCGAGTGAGTTTTAGATTATCCCCGCGAAATTTGAACGCTCCAAACCAAATGTTCCCGGATGCGGAGAGGGCCAGCGGAACTTGCTCCCCTGGCTGGGCTCCCAGTTGTGCCGAAGTCACCCACCGATGTATGGGGGTTCATTGCCCCTGCGGTTGAAAGGAGCAAGAGTGGTGTGTGGTGGCACTCTTGGAGGCCCAGGATTAACTGTATTTACTCACGCATGGCTCGATATGGCTTAGTGATGAGATCTCGGGTTTGTAAGGTAGCGCTTATGTTTTCTGGCTTTTTTTTTTTTTTTTTGAGGGGAGGGGGAAAACTTCCTATCTGTTGGTCCTCTTCTCCACCCACGGACCCACACACAGCAGCCAAAACTAGGCCATACTGAAGCCAAATGCCCAAAACTCAATCCAGGTCGCCCATGTGGATGGCAGGGACCCAGCCTAAGTGAGCCAGCACCTACTGTCTCCCAAGGTGCACGCTGGCAGGGAGCTGGAGCTGGAAGGCAGGCCCTCAGGCATTCAAGGAATGTGTTAGCGTGTTAGCCCCTTCCTGAATGCATCTCACTGTGCTTGCTCAAGAGCCTTTGCTTGGTTTATCTGCAGCCTTCTTTCAGCCTTTTCTTTGGCTTTGCTTTCTTCTTTGTTTCCATAACATTTCACACTGTGTTCCCACCCTGGGCCCCAACCCTGCTGGTAATCAAGTCTGCAGCATTTCCTATTATAAAGTCTCTGTTTACTTCTTGCCTATCATTTGTCACTCCATTTTATTTTTGATGCTTTTTTGTTTGTTTTTGGAAAGGCAGATTTATAGAGAAAAGGAGAGACAGAGAGGAAGATCTTCCATCCACTGATTCACTCCCCAAGTGGCTGCAATGGCTGGAGCTGAGCTGATCTGAAGCCAGAAGCCAGGAGCCTCTTCTGGGTCTCCCATGAGGGTGCAGAGTCTCAAGGGCTTGGGCCATGCTCTACTACTTTCCCAGGTCACAAACAGAAAGCTGGATGGGAAGTGGGGCAGCTGGAATATGAACTGGCACCCATATGGGATGCCAGTAGTTGTAGGCGAAGGATTAACCAATTGAGTCATCACACTGACCCATGTCACTCCCATTTCTTGATCTAACTTCCTTTTTTCATTTTTTTTCTTCTGCATCACCATATCTGACTATTTATGAATCTTGACTCCTTCCTTCCTTTCTTTCTTTCTTTTTCTTTCTTTCTTTCTTTTTCTTTCTTTCTTTCTCTCTTCCTTTCTTTTCTTTTCTTTTCTTTTCTTTTCTTTTCTTTTCTTTTCTTTTCTTTTCTTTTCTTTTCTTTTCTTTTTTTTCCCAAGAGAGAAAATTGAAAGTATTTTGCCTGAGCAATTGTTTGTCAGCATCTTCTACCTTGCACCAAACTTTCTCTCTCTTACTTTCTATCTTTTTATTTTACTTTATTTTATTTTTGGGTAGCAGAAAGAATTTATTTTGAGACAGAGATCTATCATCTGCTGGTTTACTTTCCAAATGCCTATAACAGCTGGAGCTGGGCCAGAACTGATGCTGGGAGCCAGGAACTCAATCCTGACCTGCTACAGGATGACAGGAGCCTAACCCGGTGAGCTGGTACACTGCCGCCTGGGGTCAGCACTGGAGTCAGGGAACTGGAACTGAACCCAGGAACTTTAATGTGCCATGCAGGTATCTTGACTGCCAGGCTAAGAATTCAGAACCCCAATAAGGCAATCTTAGTGACTGCCACACAGACCTTACTAGCTGAACTTTATTTAAAACCTCCAAGAGGGGCCTGGCGCGGTGGCGCAAGTGGTTAAGTCCTCACCTTGCACGCCCAGGATCCCATATGGGCGCTGGTTCTAATCCTGGCAGCTTCCCTTCCAGCTCCCTGCCTGTGGCCCGGGAAAGCAGTCGAGGACGGCCCAAAGCTTTGGGACCCTGCACCTGCGTGGGAGACCCGGAAGAGGCTCCTGGCTTCAGATTGGCATAGTATCGGCAAAAAAAACCCCAAGAGAACACTGGACTAACTCTGAACTAACCAGAGTCCTTGGCTTTATCTAGGGCATGAAGAAGAATTGGAGATATTTTTATTTGTGTTTGACATTTTCTTTTTTGTTTTAAAGATTTATTTTATTTTTATTGGAAAAGCAGATATACAGAGAGGAAGATCTTCCGTCCAATGATTCACTCCCCAAGTGAGCCCAACGGCCGATGCTATGCTGATCCAGAGCCAGGAGCCTCTTCCGGGTTTCCCACGCGGTGTAGGGTCCCAAAGCTTTGGGCCGTCCTCAACTGCTTTCCCAGGCCACAGGCAGGGAGCTGGATGAGAAGTGGGGCCACCGGGATTAGAACCAGCGCCCATATGGGATCCCGGGCGTGCAAGGTGAGGACCTTAACCACTGCGCCATCGTGCCGGACCCTTGTGTTTGTCATTTTCTAGAATCTAAAGGCAACACTGAATTGAGGAGAGGAAGGCATAATGGCTTCCATGGTAACCTCTGCATGCCATCAAGTCTTCAGGAAATTTAAGGCATGCCTTGCTAGTGAGCTTCAGACCTTATGTTGCGTTCATTTACTGGTGTTGCACCATAGTGCCACTGAGAGTCTATACACATTTGGGGCAGAAAGAGCCCAGAGAGCTCGAGCTCACAGGGGCATTTCACAATGCCAAGTGCAAAGAATCCCTCTTTGGTATCCCTGGTGACAAAATACAGAACTTGTTGCAGAAGGGCGCAATGTTGTAGACTGAAGTTTGGACTTGTGCACTTGACATGAGAAAAAGGAAGGAAGGTCTGCAGGCTCTGGTTGTTGAAAGCAGATTATTTTTGACCAAAGAATGTAATGAGTAGATCAGGTCAACAGGAGCAAAAAGGAAGGGTGGGAAAAGAATATAAAATCCAACTGCTGGGCCTGGCAGTGGCTAAAGTCCTCACCTTAACGCACTGGGATCCCATATGGGCACCAGTTCTAATCCCATCCAGTTTCCCATCCAGCTCTCTGCATGTGGCCTGGGAAAGCAGTCAAGGGTGGCCCAAAGCCTTGCTCCCATGCGAGACCCGGAAGAAGCTCTAGGTTCTTGGCTTCAGATCAACTCCGCTCCAGCCACTGGGGAGGGAATCATTGGATGGAAGATGCTCCTCTCTGTCTCTTCTCCTCTCTGTGTATCTGACTTTCCAATAAAAATAAATAAATCTTTTTTTTTTTTTAAATATTTTTTATTTTAACAATCTTTACATGGTTAATTTGGGTAAAAAGGGTCAAGGGCTACAGGCAAGTGGATAAGACTATTATTTCCATACTGTTTCCTTCATATATCTGAGGTAGAGGGGGATATTGAGGGAGAAGCCCCACCTGATTTCCCACCCACCCCAAGTCCCGCATGTGGGGCATGCTCCGAGATACTCATTGAAGTGGTTTCAATAGGTCACCAGTTTTGGAATTGCTGCTAATCTTGCCTCTCCAAACACGATGAGGTTGTTGAAAAATCCATTAATTGACATTGTCCATCATAGCGTCTCTATTTGCCCGGTATTTTGTTGCTGAGGTGGTTGATTAACTTGTTCCATCTTCTGTCCCTTCATAGTTTGTGTTCTGAGTCTGGCATTTCAATTGGGCAGATCACCAAAGAAACTTCGTCTGAGGTGTTCCCAGGCCAGATACTCGTATGCACCAGCAAGCACAGGGCCCAGCACAGTCCATCACCCGGTCAGCTGGTAGTTGCAAGTGCTAGGTTGCTTCTGTTTTCAGCCCCGCCTTCTACTGGAACCAATGGGTGTTGCAGTCCAGCCTGGTTCTGCACAGAATAAATCTTTTTTAAATATCCAATTGCTTTTGCTTGAGTGCCTGGGTGCTTTGCAGGCAGACCTCTGTCTTCCTTGTTCTTTTTCTTTGGGGTGGATAACTGGAATGTGGTTCACATTCATTTCATTATTCCCCACAATAATTCCAGAGTAACTCCATTGCCATGGCACTGCTGGAAATGATATAAATAAGAAAGTGGGTTAAGCTGTCACTGGAGATGCCAGCATGCCATATTGGAGCACCCATATTGGAGTTCAGATCCCAGCTACTCCACTTCTGATCCAGCTACCTGCAATGGCATTTGGGAAAGCAGAGAATGAGAGCCCATTTGCTTGGGCCCCTGCCACCCATGTGGGAGACCTGGGTGAAGCTCCAGGCTCCTGGCTTTCACCTAGCTCAGGCCTGGCTGTTGTAGCCAGTGGGGGAATAAATCAGCAGATGGAAAATCT